TTTGAGCTAGAATCTAAACGTATGAAGCACAGACTTGTGGTGTGGTGGATGTCCCCTAGTTTTATGGTTCAAAAAACATAAAATCCAAATTCTGTTAACAATTTCAACAAGCATGTTTACACGCACATCATTTTTCCGATTAAACTCTGTGGTCTGGTTAAGCCTTTAATCCGGAAAAAAGTAAACGTAATAGAATCCGTCTCCTTTTTGCTCTAAAAATGATCTGGCTAGCTTGATTTTTCACAACTGCACATACCTCGAGTTGTAGCGCTCATAATTACTTTCATTTGGACATGTGCAGATCACGACACAAAATTCTAATTCTCATAAGCTTATTCCAGCTGTCTTAGTATACTAGAAACCAGAACGTTGGCCTAATCCGGTTATAGCAATCGGGTTAATACACATCAGACGGAAGTCTGATATTAACCGTGTAAACGCTATCATTGAGGTTGCCTGTCAAATGAACGTCCATAGACCCGAAGGGCCTCACTTTGATCGATCGTGTGCATATGTGTGCTCTCCGCAGGGAACGGGACAGTATATTCATCTATACTCACGATGGCGAATGATCCCTTTCCCCTTTTATGTGGCTACTATACTAAGAGAGTCTGCTCACTGGCACAGATTTCCTTAAAATAGCAGCATTCACACTGGGCCTGGTGTTGTAGAAAGGAAGACATTTAGTGGAATTGGAAGGAATCCATGATATTAAACAGTAGATGGGATTGTGAAGCAGCAGGAGTAATCATGCAGGACAGCAGGCCGCAGGAATGCAAATCATCCACGCCGCTAGAAGTTAAGTTAGCAGGTGGCCTCCGCTATTCATTGGACGTCAACACTCTTTTTAGATCGGGGTCACATAACATCTGGGTGCCCTGGCCACTGGTTTCAATTAAGTCAAATACAGTCGCTCAATTTTCTGGCATTCGACAAACATGTACTTCATAAAAAATGGCAAGTTTTGATCAGACGAGGTCAACATAGATTTGCATGCAAATATTTATCAAAATTGAAACAAAAAGAAAAAAGGTTTCTAGCAGATTCATGGTGTTGACTCAACTGGTAGAGACAGACTCAGAAAATATATTTGAAAATAGATTTAATGACATACAAACACTGTTCTAAAATAATAAATGCAGTATTTTCCAAAAAAATATATTACTCAGAGTACTAATACAAGTGTATATAAGGAAGAAGAATATTTGCTCGAAGAAAAAAAATATATATATTTTGCATATCCACCCACTGATATCTAAAGCAAACTAATATGAAACAGTATGTGTGGGCTGCAATACTTTGGGCTATTTGAGGAAATATGTACTGTATAGTCCTAGGACATACTCAGTGCTTTTACAACAACACTACGATAATTTTAGTTAACAAAGAAAAACATTTGTTTGTTTAATTGCTTGCAAAATCCAATATGGCTGTTTTTCCCCACATAAAAAAAAAATGTGATTAGGTGACTTAAGAGTTTAAGCCATTTACATTTCTTTTGTAAAATAACAGCAGTTCTGTTTTGGAGTGGTTGCTTATGAACTTGGCATGTAATCTAAAGAAAGGAAATTATACTTGATCCTGTAAAACTCTCTCTAACTGGCCTAACTCATTAACATATTCCCAGAGAAAGAGCAATCAGCTATGGATCTGTGGTAAAGAGTGGTAACTCATCTACATCTCTCATATAAAAAAACAAAAAAACGTTATTACAAAACAAAGCCAAATAAATAAGAGGAATTGTGAGCTAATATATACATAATACTGTACATCAAATGTCAAAAACTATTTCTTTTGATATGTTATTCCAGCAATATGACACAGAAGCTCCTCAGTGTCCTCAATGACATCCACAGGACCTCACCACCATATTCCTGTACTTCTTCAGAATTACATTTGAGCTGTCATCAAAATACAGCACCGATATGGCATTCAGTTTGGTCGGTGCACAGCAAGGCTTTGGCACATTATCAGGAAACATCAGATGGACCTATGACGAGAAAAAAAAAAGAGAAATGTATGATATGTGGGAGTGGACTTTAAATGGAGACATAGTAACAAAAAATGGTTTATCAAACAAAAATATCTTTCAAACTAAACAATGAAATGTATTAATTTTACTATGAAATACATGAACTAGGACCAAAAGTTGATGTACATAAATACAGTACATACATATCTGCTATGATATATCTGATATATATATATCATACAAAACTGCTGTCCATTTTAGGTCTCATTTTTGGAGCTGCTTCTATACTTTTTTTTTACAAATACTCTATGATGAAGCAAAGGAGGCTTACCAAGGTCTGCACAATCGCATGGTTTGTCGCATTCATATGTGCATTGAGTGGAAATGAACATTCTCCATCACAATAAAAGGCTGCATAGCCCTCTGGAGCAATAATCCAATCCTAAAATGACAGAGAGACAGAGATGAATTCTCTGGTTGAGTGAAGCAATCACGCTGTGCAGTCTTGTAATTGATTGATGTCTTGCATGCGTTTACCTGCCATCCTAAGTCACGGAAGCTCACGTAAAGTTCATGCTTCTTGCAGGCTTGTCTCTGTTCACTGGTGTTCTGATCTAGATAACAGCAACAAAACGGAGGTTGAGCCTTCAAACACTGAGGTAGTCGTGTTGTTTAGTCTAGGAGTGTGTGTGGGCTCAGTGTGCTCTATGTTTGCAGCTGGCAGGACGTCTTTGTATACAGACTCTGAATGCAGTAAATACTCAGTAATTTGATGGCAGCAAAGGGGCCTACATTCAGAAAACATCAGGAAAGCTCAGCAGGTATTTCTCATGTGAGTCATCTAGAACTGTGGAATAAAACAACTGCTACGTATTAAATGCAAATGAGCGATGTTGTAAGTGATTTACACAAAATAGTCTACAGAAAATATCCCTAAAATATGGCAGGTATCTCTGAAATAGGAACCCTAGGAAATCACACCTTTCTGTGGCGGCCCTAGCCTCTGTAAACAGCAAAAAAGTGACACGACTGTAATCTGACTGACAAGTAATGTGAACCAGAGTTCATTTTGTTTTCACCTGCCATGGTTTATCTGAAACACTTGAAAAAAAAAAATCATATAACGGCACAACATTCTCCATAAGCACCTTCTTACAATGTGCCTTGAGTATCTTTAGTAGATTTGATGTCACTAACTTGACGCATTTCGTAAATCCAGTGAGTAGTTCAATTAGTTTGATCCAGTGATCAGACAAGAGGTTGTGAGATCAAGAAACTGCTGAGTTTTTTGTGTAACATGTATGCGCATGAAAAAAGTGAGCTATAGCTGCTCTGTGTCTAGTGGAAGCTAGATAAGCGAAAAACATTGCGTACAGCACTTCTGAATGTTTTTACCTCCACTTTTGAGAGCTGGCGAAGATTTCTGTTGTGTTCTGCTTTTGTTTCTGTTGTGGCTCTTCCTCTTGCTTCCTGTGGCTCTTACAGAACGGAGCAGAACCTCACTTGCTTTGAAAAAAGCAACCAGGAATGGCTGTTTGGACTGAGGTCCGTTCCTTCCGATGATGCCAGCAGATTTCATGTTGATGCTTCTACCTGAAAATCAAACAGATGTATGCATCCGATTACAGAGATCAACGTTAGACAAACAACCTTGATTAAGGCATGAAAACCTCTTTCTGGGTAGCAAAATCATCACAACTATTTACGACAGTTTCTATGGTCCACACAGATACTGTAGTGATTGTGTACATGTCAAACTGAGAGGAATAGGGCTGAAAACTGATCCTAAAATGCAGGCAACTTCATGGCATCAAGTTCCCATTTAAGAAAGAGGAAACACTGGGCGTTGTCGTGACTCAAAGATGATACTTTTGTGAAGTCTCACGCTGGTAAACGTGTCTGTTTTTAAGCTAATATAATGAATATGTGAATGGAAATAACACCAGCTGCATTTCATGGTCCTTATTTCCAGTAAAACGAGTATGCAGCAATAATCAAAACAATAAAGCACATGCAGGAAAGAACACTAAAATGTAGCGCTGTCTTTAAAGTGACCAAATGTTTATCATTCAATAAATTACCCAACACATTATTTACATAGAGCAATGGTAGTCTGGCAGGCATTTATTGTAAAGCTCCACTAAATACAAAACACATCCCACATTCGCAGTTCCACATATGTAATCTAGAGTTTCCCGAACAATGGTGTAACTCTCTACATAAACACCGCATTACAATGCTTCACTGAAAAAATCAATTAGGTAGTCCTGAACCGGTAGTAAACTTGTCATACAGCCGACATTCAAACCATGTTGGTTCAACAATATAGAATGTTGTAAATGATGCCACACAGGTGGAGTAATAACTTCTGTTAATTAATTGGTTTGAGAGTTAATTAATTAATGCCAGATTATTCTAAGGGCTTTTTGTTATCTGATGTTTTATTGCTTTATTTCCAGATGTGTGATTCAATTGCAGGTTGCCTCTTACATCACACAGTGTACTACAGCACATGCATGCTCTTCAAAAACAGCATTTTAATTCTCTTGACATACTTAAAGACACAGAATAATATTTGTGGAGGGAACGAAGGAAGGAAATATATTGCATAGATTGTCCTGCATGTTAACTCAAGACATATTAACAAGAAACTATGCTTTTAACCACAGATTGAAAGCTATATTTCCAACCACACATTTTTTGTGATGCTGTTTTCCAATGGAACTATGATTTTGGGAAACACCAAATCATTGAACTATGTTGGTACTGATGGAACTCATGACCATAGTTGGCTAACAATGCTTTTGGGGAACGTACCCCTGGTTACTAATACTAATACTCAAGTCATAAATTGTTATGACCCATCTTCACAAAGTTTGAACTGCAAACTGAAATTTTTTTGTGCTAAAGACTTTGACCAGTGATCATTGACCAATGGCAATTTCATGAGCATTCCTATCCGTGAAACACTCCATCAGTCATTTCTCAAACAAAACTAGAAAATAATGTGTGCAGTGTCATTATCCTCCACAGAGCTGGGTCGTAACTGATTACATGTAATCTGGATTACGTAATCAGATTCTAAAAAAATAATGTACTCGTAATTTGTATATTACATTTGATTATGCTCATAACCAGATTACAGTTACTTTTTATGGGTTACATGATTACATATTATTCACACAATGGCAGTAAATCATTCATAATTTATTTCTCCAAAATTCCTATTTTTTCTCTTTTAAATTTGCCTTTCTAAACATTTTACTGTGTGTCATATAATTTAGCTTTGACTAAATCCACAATATAGAATGGCCAGGTAAAACGAGTCAGGTAAATAAGGGGCTGTTCACATGTCGCGCCTAAAAACGCGTGGAAAACGCTAGGCGCGCCGCTTTCTGCTTTTTTCCAAAGCTTTCGGGCGCTTGCTCGCTCCCTGTACAGCTATGATCAGCTGTTCCTTCATCTTGGCTGAGCTTTCAATGTTGTTATGGGAAAGGATGAAGCTGATTGGTTGGTTCTTGTCACATGACCCGCGGTGCGCTTGCAGCATTCTGAAAAGTTGAAATGTGTTTATCTCGATGTGGCGCGGACGCGCCTGGAAAAAATGAGCGCGTCGCGACCGCGTCGCTTCCATTATGAGTGCGCCTGCCGCGCATCTACATTTGAAATAACGAACTTGAGCGCGCAAAAGACGCGATATGTGAACGGCCCCTAAATCTGCAAATCATGCTTCTTAATTTGGGTGGAAAACCACACCTCTCAAGCAATTAGACCATGTATGAAACATAATTCAATCATGACAACTCTCGGAACATTTTAGCATGGTGATAGATATGGCTTAGTAATTACTCCTCACGCGAATAACCTGCACGTCGTTTTACAACTTGTATGTTTTCTAGTTTAAAAATGTACATCTGACGAACGCAATAATGCACAGAAAACAGAGTGAAAACCGTTTACTTATCTTAGCTGTTGAGTTTCAGAGTAACTCTGAAAGCGCGCTGCAGGAATCTCAAGTGAATGCTAGCCAGCCATATAAATGCAAGCCAGTAAGCTCATTGGCTGCATATGCAGCATGAACCAATCAGCTTGTGCCAAGTCGTTTAACTCTCTGAATATCATCAGTTACGTTAACACCCCATCAGAATGCGCCATCTAGAGTTTCATGACTGAACTATATATTTATGCAAGTTCCAAAACACTGGTGATATATAGATGTGAAACACTATGTTTTCATCATATCCAGTAACCTTCAGTAACTGGTGATTCTGGAAATCTGGACACATTTTTTTCCAAGCTGTGTAATGTCATTGCTGTTTACATATTTATTCATTTTTGTTCATGTAATGCAGGGATTTCCAAAGGTTTGTCAGCTAAACAAAATAAATAACGACTTTATTCAACAATTCGTCTCCTCCGCATGACCCTGGTGCCATTTCGGAGAATATCCGCTGGACGTAAACAGCGTATGCTGTTCTGTGTCAGCTGTGTCACGCCGGATCTGTTTCCTACGTTGTTGTGATTTGATCTGAACGGAAACAGTGTATCTGTGTGACGCAGCTGACACAAAACAGCATATGTTGTTTACGTCCAGCGGATACTCTCCAAAATGGCACCAGGGTGATGGTATAATTGCGGTTGAACCACTGATGTCACATGGATTATTTTACAGATCTCCTTGCTACGTTTCTGGACCTGGGAACTATGCAGGGTCAGACAGCTCTCAGATTCCATCAAAAATATCTTAATTTGTGTTCCGAAGATGAACGAAGGTCTTACGGGTTTGAAACAACTTGAGGGTGAGTAATTAATGACAGAATTTTCATTTTTGGGTGAACTAACCCTTTAATGTAATGTTTTATGTTGATATCAAAAAATTTACTTGTTTCTCTTTGTTTTTTTATGTCAATATAAGTAAATGTCATGGTAAGTTTAAAACAAGTTAGATAAAAAGGGATCTAAAACGTAGTCACAATACAGTACCTAAAATGAGTAACCAAGTTTACGTTACTAACTAAAGTTTTCATCATGTAATAATGGACTACAATTTGTAAGTAGTCTACCCAGCGCTGATACTCCAGTTTCCAGTACCATCCTCTGAATGCATTCTCTGACACAGCATAAACTGTGTGATTGTCCTTAATTAAAGCACAGATGTCCCTGTCTTACCGTCAGTGGTCTCCACGCAGAGCTGCAGGCCCATGTTCTGCTGCGGGTTCAGGACCCAGTGATTACTGGTGGCCGTGATGTCAAACACCAGCCACCCCCCATCAGTAGCGCGGATCTTTTTGGAGTCCAGGAGAAATGTTTCAGCATCCCTAATGAGACAATAAGAATGCACTATGACAATGTGATTTACATTATATTTTTGAATATAATATTTCACTGTCCGCCACAAATAGATGAATGTTAAACTGTAATGACATGTTTAACATCCGAGATGAATGAGTTGGATTTTGCTAATTGCAGTCATTCTGCATCTTAATTAGCAATGTTGATTATAACATAGAAAAACAAATATTGAAACGAGTGCAACCAAATTTTCTTTAAGGCCTTCCTTTTCATCTCGACCACAATTTTGTCAACAAGCCATTCCTGTTCATCTACTTAACTGACGTTCCAAAACAACACATGGGCCACACAGTGAGACAGCGGCCCTGATCTCACAGACAGGAAAAATGATCAGAGACAGTGGCACGTTCCAGCATGCCGCAACGAAGGCGAGCGCAGCACACCACCGCATTCTGTGTCCCTGTTACAACTCAATATTCTCATTTTCTTTTCAACTTTGGCGTGACCAAGCCAATACAACTGACATAAAGTAGGCGATCTGTGCATCATATACAGTGCACTGACCTCAAAAGACAGGGAGAGATGAAAACAGACCCTAATACAAGTTCTCAGAACTCAGCAAGTATCATGGAATTCTTTGAAGTACCTTGGAGTTGCATGTGAATACCATGGCTAATGGTAAATCAATCATTCAGTTCCACAGTACTGTGGTGTTGCCATCTGTTAAATATTCTGATTCCCCTATTGACGATTCTTTGAGCACTTCAAAAAGTGCAAACCCAACCCATGAATAATTTGTCCTGAACCAAATATTCTAAACAAAAACAATGGTATTTTTCTTTTTATTAGAGGACCATCTGTCAACAACTTTCTTCTGAATGTTAATCTTCAATTGCACTTTGCCATGTGAACAACCAGTTGGTAATTACACTAAAGTCCCATGAGCCTTCAGTTCAACATAACACATTAAAAGTTATTGGTTCATTTCTAGTTGGACATGACAAAGGTAATGACTTGCGGTTCAGTGAAAAAGTCAAGACCGATTCAGCCAGCGAGTGAGTCATCAGACTGATTCACACAAATAGTTGACTGCATCAAACTGCGAACAGCCAGAGAGGACAATGCACTAGAAACATGCATGGTCTATTTACTGTGTCGTTTGCTTTCATTAAATTCAGATTTTTCTCTGCTGAACAGAAACTAAGAATTTGGACTATAAATTGAACTAGTTTTGAATAAGAAGTGGTTCTCTATTCCCAATCCTAACCATTATGGTATCAAAGTACTGTACACCTCCACAATACTGTTTTGTAAAGGTGTAATGTTTCGTTTACCTCCATGTCTTTAACACTCACAGCTTTGGCAGGCTATAAGAAGTGGGTGCTAAGCTGTGAAACACTAAATTCCACTAATCACAGGAAAATCACAGTACGGACACAGGAGTGAATGTGTGAAGTTGTGGGACACGGACGCCTCATAAACACAGCCATGAGGAAGGGTTCCAGGGCCTCTGATGGCAGAATCCATTATGAACTCCTGTTTCATTGCCCCAGGAGAGCCGTATCTCCGCTTAAATGTTTCAGCTGCATTCATTCATGGTGAGAAAAGGCCCTGTCTATGGTGTGCCCATGTATGACTCAAGATAAGTCACGGCTCTCAATCTAGATTAGAAGACCATTAGAACCGTGAAGAGGCAGGTGGGCACAGACTCACTTTTAGGAAGCTTTGGAAGTCTCTTGACGCAGAGACCCTCTATTAAGGCCAGATGGCCCTGTCTGGGGTGCAAGCGCTCTGACAAGCAGTCGAGATACGCAAAGAGTGATAACTGATGGACTTTCAAGACTTTCATAAGTGCTGGAAGTTGCAAATGAGCTGTTAATGGAAAGCTTTATCCATGGCCATTACCAGCAAGCATATCTGGTGAGACTGAGGAATAACAGGTTTGCTCTGCTTTGTCGGGTGAGCTCTGGTTATGCGAAATCATTCCTAGCGGACAAGAGGTGGTCTGAACCTTACAGAGCAGAGTTGAACTGATGTCATGGTCTTTTAGTTGAGCCCAGATGGCTATATCCTAAAAAAAAAGGATAGGAAAAATTTTTCCATACATCATTCCATAATGACTATGCAATCTTTCTTTGTGAATTAAAGGTACAGGTTGGACCTCCCATACTTTAGATGTTGAGAAGGACTTGTATTACCATTCTAACTCAAACCTTATTGAGCTACACTAACATGAGCAATGTAACAGGTTCAATATCTATAATATAATCTTGGTTCCCACATCTTTTGAACAATGAATTGAAAGGTGAGGTTTATACACTCTAAAAATGCTGGGTTGTTTCAACCCAACTTTGGGTCAAATATGGACTAACCCAGCTGTTGGGTTACATTTTTACATTAAATTTTTAACCCAAAAGTTGGGTTAGTCCATATTTGACCCAAAG